AAGATTTACAAGAATAAAAAGAATATGAAGATCAAAGAACAAATAAATATTTATCTCTGATAATCAACATATATTTTTAAGTGAACTATTACGTTTTCATACAAAAATTAAAATAGTAGAATTTTAGTCCCTCATTATCTTGAAAAAAAATTAGATTATTTGGCACAATTGGTGTAGAAGAGATTACAAATAATTTATCATAAAAATTTTTTTTAAAAAATATAAATATTTTAAACACAAAAACATTGATAATAAACATAAAATTCAATACAACTTCTAAAAATGTATTATTTAAAATATAAATTAAAACAAAATCCACGCATACGCACGGATTCTCTCCTATTTTTATAATAAAAACTCGTAAAACCCTAATCGATTAAAATCCTTTTGCTTATATAAAACTTTCAAACAATAGAAAATTTGAAGTGATGAAGTATAATGATCAATTATGTAAACATGTCGCTAGTTTGATTATATAATAAGATTTTTATGATAAAATATTATTGTTTGATCACAGTATAATTAATACAACGATGCAATGCTTCAAGACAATTTAATTAATGACAACCAGCAACTTTAATGCGAGAAATCAATATTAATAATAAATTGGTATAATTTAGTAACCATTGCCAATGAACGAAAGAATAAACAATGACCTATAATCTGATGAGCATGAGTCATGTTTAATTATTATGATCAATTCAAGTAATTGTTAATCAAGCTATAAATAAATCAATGGCACAGAAACATGATCGATGGCAAAGCATGGTTTTATCAAAAGATAATTAACGATTACAAAAAACCCCAATTGTTTAATTTAAAATTTTAAAATCATCTATTCTATTAATTTAGTGCTTGCATCCAAACACTCCCAAAGTTTTTTTTTATAATATTTTATTTTATTTTTATATTTAATTTCCGAAAATCTATTATATTAAAACAGAAACACATTTAGTACTTGCTTCCAAACACTCTCAAAATTTTTTTTAAAAATATTTTGAGAAACAGTTTTAAAATTATCCTAAATTATTGTAATATTATTTAAAAATATATTTTCTTTTATATTGAAAATTAGATATGAATTTAGATAACTAAAGATTTCCATAAATATAGGTCATATTTAATTTAAAATTCAAATTATTTTTGTAATTAAATTTAATTCTAAAAAATGATATTAATTTCAATTATTTTATACTTCTTTAATTATAGGTCAGATTTAATTTAATATTTGAAAATATAAATAATATTTTTAGAAAACAAATATGATTAAGAGAATACCTTATCGTATTTTTTAATCATATTCAATCAGAATAAAATTTCACATATTGAAAACTAATAAATATTAATATTATATGGTAATTTGAGGAGGTGGATTATATTTTTTTTATAATTGCAGTCTTATATTCAAAACATGCAAGATATTAAAATAAATATTAATATCAAGATATTAAGTAAATAATTATATTATATAGTAATATGACGGACGGGTTAAAATTATGGTTTAGTAACTACAATTTTTCGGATTAATAGAATGAGTGAGTTAAAAATATATTTTTATAATAGCGGTCTTTTTCGATTAATATAATGATCGGGTTAGAATTATGTTTTTATGATCATGTTCATAATATAGTAGAAAAAATTAAAAAATAAATTATATCTAATCATAAAAATAAATCTTTGTTATTTATTAAAAAATTATATCTATAAAGAAAACATAAATAATATTATAAATTTTGATTAAAAGAATTTCCCGTGCGGATGCACGGGGTAAAATCTAGTTAGTTATTAATTTAGATATTTTTAGGTTTCCTAAAATCTAGGTCATCTTCAATTGGGTTTTTAGGGAACGCTTTGCGAACGCCTTGCGAACGAAAAGAAAATTGGGTTTTATAGACGGGACGTTGACGAAACCTACTGCAGCGAAGGAGCTCGAGCAGTGGGAGGTGGTGAACTCGATGTTGGTGGCGTGGATCATGAACACCATCAAACCAACTCTTTGGATCTCGGTGTCAATGGTGGATGAAGCTAAGGAACTGTGGCATGATCTAAAGCTACACTTCTCGGCAGGAAACAGACCAAGGATCAGTGAGCTCAGCGCAGACATCGCTAACTGCAGACAACACGGAGACTCTGTTATGGTGTATTTTGGGAAGCTTAAAAAGATGTGGGATGAACTGGCAATTTACAAGCCAATAAGGACGTGTAGTTGCGGCGAGCTTAAGACGCAATTGGAAGAAGATCGAGAAGAAGAGAGGACAAATACCTTTCTCACAGTATCGAGCCGCTTCCTAAACTTTCTCAAGTCTATAAACGACTGGTGGTGAAGAACGTCAACAGATGATGACCAGAAACAAAGACGTACCTGCGGAGGTGGTTAGCTTTGCTGTTAACGCAGGTAACAAAGTCAATAGCTCCCAGTATCGAGAGAAAGATGTCACGTGTACCCATTGTGGCAAATATGGGCATGCACAATCCGATTGTTTCCAGCTCACGGGATATCCGGAATGGTGGGATGAGCGAGGAGGCAGAGGAAGTGGTGCACGAGGACGTGTTGGACGGGGTGGAGGCATCGCGGGAAGAACAGGACGTGAGAGAGGCTCGTATTCTCGATCAAATGCGGCACAGCTGAACCAGACAGGAGCAGTTCAAGCTAATGTGGCAAAGCAGGGTGGTGACTATGATCGGGGATCTCTTCCACAACTGAGCGACGATCAGTGGACAGCTCTCTTGGGTTTTCTCTCGACAAAGAAACAAGAGAGTAATGAGAAGCTAAGTGGTAAGACCGATAATGGTGATTTTATTATCGATACCGGAGCCTCACACCATATGACGTGGGACCTTGATCTTTTGAGTAACATTGTCAATATTCATCCATGTGCGATTGATTTACCTGATGGTGACACTGCTATAGCGACGAAACAGGGTGACTTGTGCTTGGGTGGAGATTTATGGCTACGTGGAGTGTTATATTCGGAAGAGCTGACTTGCTCTTTAATTTCTGTCGCTAAGCTTCTAAAAGCTATTAAGGGATCTATTACTTTTACTGAAGATCTCTGTGTTTTGCAGGACCATACCTCGAAGACACTGATTGGAGCGGGTGAAGAGAGAGGGGGAGTCTACGTGTTTCGGGGAGTCATTGGACCGCAGGTGAACAAGACGGTGAAATCAGAGTCATCTGACTTATGGCATCAACGGTTGGGACATCCTGCTAGTAGTGTTTTGTCGTTTTTACCTAGAGATTTGGTGTTTGAGAAACCTGTTGATTTAAACTCCACGTGTGAGATTTGTTTAAGGGCGAAACAAACCCGTATTTGTTTTAATGAGAGTTCTAATAAAGCTGTTGAGGTTTTTGATTTAATTCATTGTGATGTGTGGGGTGCGTATAGAACTCTCTCTACCTCTGGAGCTGCATACTTCTTAACCATTGTTGATGACCATTCGCGAGCTGTGTGGGTATATTTGTTATGTGAAAAGAAAGCAGTAGCCGAAACTTTACAGAACTTCTTTCGTATGGTTGAACAACAGTTTAATAAGAAGGTACGCATTGTGCGTAGCGACAATGGTGGGGAATTTATGGCCTTGAAATCTTACTTTGTTGCAGAAGGGATTCTCCATCAAATAAGCTGTGTTTACACGCCGCAGCAGAACGGTCGTGTGGAAAGGAAGCATCGACATATATTGAACGTAGCTCGGTCGTTAATGTTCCAAGCGAGTATACCAATTCGATTTTGGGGCGAGTGTGTTTTGACAGCGTGCCACCTGATTAATCGCACTCCCTCGAGTGTGTTGCATGGGAAAACACCGTTTGAAATTCTTTATGGAGTGGCTCCGAGTTACACATCTTTGAGGGTCTTTGGGAGTTTGTGCTTCGCTCGTAATATTATACGCGATAAGGACAAATTTGGAGAGCGGTGTCGTCGATGCGTGTTTATGGGGTATCCTTATGGGCAAAAAGGCTGGCGTGTGTGGGATATCGAAAAGAAGGAGTTCTTTGTGTCGCAGGATGTAGTATTTGAGGAAAATACATTTTCATGGGCATCGATACAGGCAACGGAGGATGAATCTCCGATACGGGTTCCATCTCCACTGCCGATCTTTGACGATGATTCTCCTGTACAACTACCAGCTGCAGTTGCACCGATTATGGAGGACAGGGGGAGTGAGAATGAGTTGCCAGTCGAACCGATTGCAACTAATGATATGCCTCAAGAGAATGAGATTGCGACAGTACCGCTATGACGTAGTGAACGACAACGTACATGATCTACCAGACTGAATGATATGGTGGTTTATACTACACAATGTTCTGATCTCCCCGTCTCTCTCTCTTCGCACGATCCTCCACCAGTGTCAACGAGCCAAGGTATGGTCCGCTATCCCATTGCCAACTATGTTAATTGTACTAAGTTTTCTTCTTCGCATCGAGCTTTCCTTGCAGCTATCACAGCTGCCGAAGAGCCTAGATCATTTCGTGAGGCTATGAAAGACGAGCGATGGAGAAACGCAGCATCAAGTGAGGTGAAAGCATTGGAGGCTAACCGAACATGGGATGTGACAGACTTGCCACCAAATAAAAAGGCCATTGGATGTCGTTTGGTTTTTACGATTAAGTACAAGGCAAATGGGGATATTGAGAGACATAAAGCGCGGTTGGTAGCATATGGGAATAGACAGGAAGCGGGGCTAGATTATGATGAGACTTTTGCTCCGGTAGTTAAGATGACGACGGTTTGTATGTTTTTAAAAGTTGCGGCTGTCAAAGAGTGGGAAGTACACCAGATGGATGTACATAATGCGTTCTTACATGGCGATTTGCACGAAGAGGTTTACATGAAGATGCCACCAAGATTTGAATCTAGTGATAAGACGAAGGTGTGTCGTTATATGGTCTTTGCCAAGCACCCAGGTGTTGGTTCGCTAAGCTTATGGCAGCTCTTCATGGTTATGGCTTTGTTCAAAATAAACCGGACTATTCCCTCTTCACCTTGACTCGGGGTAATATGCGACTGTATGTGCTTATTTATGTCGATGATCTACTGATTGGGGGAACTGATCCAGCTGCGATTTCTAAATTCAAGGGTTACCTTCACACATGTTTTCATATGAAGGACTTGGGAAGATTGAAGTACTTTCTTGGGATCGAGGTCGCACGATCACCTGAGGGAATCTATTTATCGCAAAGGAAGTACACATTGGACATTGTGAAGGAGTGTGGGTTATTGGGGTGCAAGCCGGTGTCTACGCCGATGGAACAGAATCATAACCTTCCAAAGGATGACAGCGAGTTTTTTCATGATCCGGAACGGTATAGAAGGCTGGTTGGCCGACTTGTTTACCTTACTCATACACGTCCTGAGCTGTCGTATGCCGTGCATATGCTTGCACAGTTCATGCAACAGCCACGCAAGAGGCAGTGGGACGCAGCTATACGAGTGGTGCGGTACTTAAAGGGGTGTCCAGGTCAGGGAGTTCTTTTAAGCTCCAAGTCTGATTTGCAGATTACGGCGTACTGCGATTCGGATTGGGCTACATGTCCGATGACACGAAGATCGTTGACAGGGTTTGTTGTGATGCTTGGAGACTCTCCGGTAGCATGGAAGACGAAGAAGCAAGAAACTGTGTCGTGTTCCTCGACGGAAGCCGAATACAGAGCAATGAGTTTCACTACTCGTGAGTTGAAATGGAACCGTGCTATTCTCTCCAGCTTAGGCATCTCGCATACGCAGGCAATGCACCTACATTGTGATAGTAAATCGGCTCTGCATATTGCGGCAAATCCCGTATTTCATGAACGGATAAAACATTTAGAAAATGATTGTCATTTTCTCCGGGATGAAATACAAAATGGTTCGTTAACTACTTCTCATATCAGTACAACTGAGCAGCTAGCAGATATTTTCACAAAGGCGTTGGGCTCTTCACAGCTTATGTATCTGCGACGCAAGTTGGGCATTTGCGATCTTCATGCTCCAACTTGAGGGGGAGTATTAGGGAATCCTGAGTATATATCGAGAATATCTTTCCATATATTCTGTTATGTTAATATTCCTTATCGATAGTATTGTATCTAGGGTTCTCTCTATGTGAGATATGTATATAAACCCATCGATAGTAATGAGAACGATACAGCATTCTCTTATCTCTTTGTCATGGTATCAGAGCGGCGATCATAAAAAAAAACAGAACTTAAGAGAGAAGAGAATTGACGATCAATGGCTTCAGGCAAGAACAATGCGGAGAAGAACACTGCAGAAGGTGTGTCTACTAGAACGGGGATAACCGAAGAAGCGATGTTGTCACCGATGTACCTCCATCCGTCGGATCGACCAGGGGATTTGATAACTACGAGTGCAACTGAAGGGGGAGAACTATGAAGATTGGGCCAAGCATGTGCGGAACACCCTGCGAACGAAAGGAAAATTGGGTTTTATAGACGGGACGTTGACGAAACCTACTGCAGCGAAGGAGCTCGAGCAGTGGGAGGTGGGGAACTCGATGTTGGTGGCGTGGATCATGAACACCATCGAACCGACTCTTCGGATCTCGGTGTCAATGGTGGATGAAGCTAAGGAACTGTGGGATGATCTGAAGCTACACTTCTCGGCAGGAAACAGACCAAGGATCAGTGAGCTCCGCGCAGACATTGCTAACTGCCAGACAAAACGGAGACTCTGTTATGGTGTATTTCGGGAAGCTTAAAAAGATGTGGGATGAACTGGCAATTTACAAGCCAATAAGGACGTGTAGTTGTGGCGAGCTTAAGACGCAATTGAAAGAAGATCAAGAAGAAGAGAGGACAAATACCTTTCTCACAGGGTTAGATGCAGAGAGGTTTGGGACGGTGCGCTCAACAATTCGCAGTATCGAGCCGCTTCCTAAACTTTCTCAAGTCTATCAACGACTGGTGCGTGAAGAACGTCAACAGATGATGACCAGAAATAAAGACGTACCTGCGGAGGTGGTTGGCTTTGCTGTTAACGCAGGTAACAAAGTCAATAGCTCCCAGTATCGAGAGAAAGATGTCACGTGTACCCATTGTGGCAAATATGGGCATGCACAATCCGATTGTTTCCAGCTCACGGGATATCCGGAATGGTGGGGTGAGCGAGGAGACAGAGGAAGTGGTGCACGAGGACGTGTTGGACGGGGTGGAGGCATCGCGGGAAGAACATGACGTGGGAGAGGCTTGTATTCTGGACTATTTTTCTTGCACAGCTGAAACCAGACAGGAGCAGTTCAAGCTAATGTGGCAAAGCAGGGTGGTGACTATGATCGGGGATCTCTTCCACAACTGAGCGACGATCAGTGGACAGCTCTCTTGGGTTTTCTCTCGACAAAGAAACAAGAGAGTAATGAGAAGCTAAGTGGTAAGACCGATAATGGTGATTTTATTATCGATACCGGAGCCTCACACCATATGACGTGGGACCTTGATCTTTTGAGTAACATTGTCAATATTCATCCATGTGCGATTGGTTTACCTGATGGTGACACTGCTATAGCGACGAAACAGGGTGACTTGTGCTTGGGTGGAGATTTATGGCTACATGGAGTGTTATATTCGGAAGAGCTGACTTGCTCTTTAATTTCTGTCGCTAAGCTTCTAAAAGCTATTAAGGGATCTATTACTTTTACTGAAGATCTCTGTGTTTTGCAGGACCATACCTCGAAGACACTGATTGGAGCGGGTGAAGAGAGAGGGGGAGTCTACGTGTTTCGGGGAGTCATTGGACCGCAGGTGAACAAGACGGTGAAATCAGAGTCATCTGACTTATGGCATCAACAGTTGGGACATCCTGCTAGTAGTGTTTTGTCGTTTTTACCTAGAGATTTGGTGTATAAGAAACCTGTTGATTTTAACTCCACGTGTGAGATTTGTTTAAGGGCAAAACGAACCCGTATTTGTTTTAATGAGAGTTCTAATAAAGCTGTTGAGGTTTTTGATTTAATTCATTGTGATGTGTGATTGCGATTTGTAAACGGGGTGTTTGTTGTTTTCGTTTTACTAAGCTTCAGGTTTTAAATTTATAACCCCTAAATGTTTGCAAGTGCACAGATGTGCGCTGTAATACTTAGGGTATCGATCCACAGAGACTTAGTTGTTTCAGTACGTATTCAACGCAACGCTTAAATCAGATTAGAACAAAAAGGGTTTTGATTTTGGGTTTTTGGTTGTCACTAAATCTAAACTAGAAAGCAAGTAAAAAGCAATTGAAAGAAAACTAAAGCAGGTAAAGCAAGTAAAAAGCGATTAAACAAAGCGAATAGAAGGCAAGTAAATAGCGATTGAAAGTATAATGGAAACAAGAAAATAAGCAAATGAAAAGCAAAGGAATACGAAGGTTGTAAGCAATTAAAGACAAACGTTGGGGCTCAAGGGTATTTTGCAGGGGTTCAAGGACTTAGCTATGTCGATTTTAAACAAGTGATAAAGGTAATCAACTACGTATGTTCTAGAACTCGAGGCACGGAAGTATGAATAGCCTACTTTCGCAGCACTAAACAACTATCTCTCGCAACCCTAATCAGTAGGTTTCCACTCTGATTCTGGAAGGGAGAAGATGCAATAGCAGAACAAGACTCATCAATATTCACAACTCAACTACAGGTAGGTTTCCACTCCTGTAGAAGAATTGCTCGTTTCACCCTAGTTCAGACAATCAATGAAAGCTTTCGCAACATATCATATCAGATCGGCTTCTAAGTGGCCAGCAAAGAATCACGCAGTAAGATTAAAGGCAAACGAAGAACATCTAGAAGATTAATAATCCTAAATCTATCGATTCATAAGCAAAGACACATGAAATTCCCTTTGAAAAATCCCTTTAAACCCAACTGGGTAACTACTCAAACATATTGTAACAAAGCATCATAGAGTATTGAAATTGCAGGAAATTAAAGAGAAGAGGGAAGAAGAACGAAGAACCGAATCGCAGATGGAGGCGCGATGATTGCACTCCTCGGCGGCTCCTCCTTCAAAGGCGGGGGCTCCTCTAGGGTTTCTGAAGCACCCACACGAATTCTCTCTCTATTTTTATCTTATGTCGTCTACACACCTTTAGGAATGACCTAAAGGGGGTATTTATAGCTTCAGGGGTGGTTCTGGACACTTAGGGCTTCAAAAATAACGAAGGGAATTGATCTGGGCTTTAATTAAGTCGTCGGGAAAGTGAACGACCAAATTCCGCGGTCGCGGTGGCTCTACCCGCGGGAAAATGGGTGTTTGCCGCGGTCCCGGCACTTGCTCTCTTCCGGAACTGCATTTTCTGTCATTCTTGCATCAGGAGTATCTGAAGATCTAACCGTTGGATTATCTCCAAACCAAGTGCATTAGAAAGCTGGTTGGATCCTCTATGTTGTCTCGAAGTTTGGAGGTGATCAGACGGTGAGAAGGTCTTCATCGCTTGTCATACTTCTGACGGTCTGCATTTATCCAAAATTGCTCATTTGTTCCAAATTGCATATCTTTTGCCCAAGTTTCCTGTTAAGTCTTTTGAAACTCTAAAACATTGAAAATACTTTAAAAACCATTGAAAACAGAGTTAAACCACCTGCATAAGACATTATTATGATCCATAAAAATGGTCAAAATACGGTGTTATCAACTCCCCCAGACTTACCTTTTTGTTTGTCCTCAAACAAACTTAAATCAGGAAAGAATTTTAAAAATCGCAGGAACTAAACAATATCTCAGTGACCGTCCTTCTAAACCATAACTTATCGTGAAACATCTATTTGGATCCAGTCTAGAAAATTCTCACTAAAATACATGCAAACTAGTCCGTTAATCCGTCATGCAAAAATCTACACACTTAGATCTGACTTCCAGTCAACTAGCTCTTAACATTCATTAGAAATCTCGGTGGTTCTCATCAAAGAAAGTCTAGGCAAGGCAATCTAGGCTAGGTGTAAAAAGGGTTATTTTAGGGGTAAGGCTTAAAGTGTTTACGGGTTACCTGAAGATCTGGAGAATGCAAGATATTATGCAAAACCGCAAGAGAGAGTGAAGTTGTTGGTATCCACAGTTTTCAGTCACTTTCTTCTTGCCATAGATTACTGGCCTTCTTCCTCAGGTTCTCTCCTAACTCCCCCAGACTTAGATTTTTGTAAATCTTTCAAAAACATAGCTCTATAAACGCTTAGTAGATACTTCTTGCTCAACAAATTTCGACAATCTAGGACTCATTAGGCTTTTTGTTTCCCTCTCTCTTTTCATTCATTCGTTTTTTTTTTTTTTTTTTTGAATAGAGAGGGAACACCTTTAGATATAGAGTCTTAGAGAGCACGCAATTACCAGTTAAGATTTGTCTTGTAAAGCTTCTTGATGTTTCTGATACTCTTCCTTCCCAATTCCATTCAGTCTCCTTTGTGAGTGACTGAAAACTGCGTCGCTCCTCTTCTTTCCGACGTTTTTGCACATATCTGCTGATATAAACTAAAGAGAGAATGCACGAGGATTGAAAACAAGGGTTTTGGGTTTAGGGTATGGTACCAGATAAAGATAAACTGGTCATCTAGGACGACAAAGAGTGATAAAAGTGAGGGTAAAAGACGTCCTAGATGTGTATGTCGATGCCTGCCAAATCAATGATGAGAAAATTAAATGTCAATATTAAGGTCAAATAAAATGAGCTAGTATATCCTGTCAGAAAGAATCTCCATGAATAGAAGTCCTCTGGTGGGATTTCGTAATGCAAGTACTTAGCTACCGCCTAGTCTAGGCCTAAATCACAAAAAGAGCAAAAAACGAGGAAATAGCGTAGAAGCACACTGGTATAATTCATCATAGTAATGTTACTGTGTTCCTGGTTTGAAAAATTTTTGAAAAACTTTTTGAAAAATTGTATGTGTCCAAAACAAACTCAAAACAAATCAAATTTCATTAGTAACGGATGAACATCCTCCCCCAGACTTATTTCACACTGTCCTCAGTGTGATAAATCTTGGAAAGAATGGTAAAGAAAATAGAAATGTTGAA